TGTGAATGCGTGTTTATAAGTGCGTTCGGGAGACCACATTTTGTAACAAACACTTTAGTTTCCTTACATTTACCTATAATATTTACACTGACATTCCTTTATTTTACCACACAAATTACTCTCAGGAGGCAGACTAAGCAGGAGCAACATGGCAGACTGACCTGTTGCTGGTCTCAGTTAATTTTGCTCCATGACTTCATTTCCCACGTTCCGCCAGGCTACGCTTTCCGATGTGGGGCTCATCCTGTTCAATACAAAGCAGTGCTTGAAGTGGAAAAACATTAGTGCTGGTACTCCCCTTTGAAAAATATCGGGGGGTCCATTTAAATTTACAACTTAAGCACAGATTAAATGAGCCTCTTTCAAAAATGGAAGAGGCATTTTGCAAACACACCCCCATTTTCTTAATGCAAAGTCATCTGTGAGGTCATCTGATGCTGTGTTACTTCTGAGCTGAGCTGGTGACAGCCAGGACTACTATAGATGAGCCTCGGGTTGAGAAGCTTCACTCAGCAGAGGCAGCTGCAACCGCAAATCCATCATACTAGCAGATTAAGATTTATTTTGGTCTAAATGGGAAGTTACACAATGAAGCTAATGTAGATGTGACTACAACTAATGATATGATTGTAATACAACATGAAATCATCTCTCTCTCTCTGTGTCTCACTAGACAGACAGATTTAGGCCAATGGGTGTTTTCCTACATATTTATAAATACACCAATAATATTAATAACATTGATAGCGTGGATTTAGGGCTGGGCGATATGGACCAAAACTTATATCTCAATATATTTTAGCTGAATTCCGATATACGATATATATCTTGATATTTTTCCTCCTGTACAATGTTTACAAGTTAACTCACTTCAAGCTGTCTTGAGAAATTATACATAAATCAGTAGATTAAATGAATAAAAATTTATTGATTATTGTCAAACTTTAACCTTAGTGCCCATTCTCTACCAGTCTGAGTTTTAGAAACACCGGTACAGCTGTCTGCTAACACACACACACACACACACACACACACACACACACACACACACACACACACACACACACACACACACACACACACACACACACACACACACACACACACACACACACACAGTTGAGAGCTAGAGGTGTATCAAATGTCCCACAGGCACTTTATTATATATTTATAATTTATCTCGTCTCGTCTCGTCTCGTCTTCCTCCGCTTATCCGGGTCCGGGTCGCGGGGGCAGCATCCCAACTAGGGAGCTCCAGGCCGTCCTCTCCCCGGCCTTGTCCACCAGCTCCTCCGGCAGGACCCCAAGGCGTTCCCGGACCAGATTGGAGATGTAACCTCTCCAACGTGTCCTGGGTCGACCCGGGGGCCTTCTGCCGGCAGGACATGCCCGAAACACCTCCCCGGGGAGGCGTCCAGGAGGCATCCTGACCAGATGCCCAAACCACCTCAACTGGCTCCTTTCGATCCGGAGGAGCAGCGGTTCTACTCCGAGTCCCTCCCGAATGTCCGAGCTCCTCACCCTATCTCTAAGGCTGAGCCCGGCCACCCTACGGAGGAAACTCATTTCAGCCGCTTGTATCCGCGATCTCGTTCTTTCGGTCATTACCCAAAGCTCATGACCATAGGTGAGGATTGGGACGTAGATTGACCGGTAAATCGAGAGCCTGGCTTTCTGGCTCAGCTCCCTCTTCCCCACGACAGATCGGCTCAGCGTCCGCATCACTGCAGACGCCGAACCAATCCGCCTGTCGATCTCCCGATCCCTCCTACCCTCACTCGTGAACAAGACCCCGAGATACTTAAACTCCTCCACTTGAGGTAGGACCTCTCCCCCGACCCGGAGGTGGCAAGCCACCCTTTTCCGGTCGAGAACCATGGTCTCAGATTTGGAGGTGCTGATCCTCATCCCAGCCGCTTCACATTCGGCCGCGAACCTACCCAGCAAGAGCTGAAGGTCAGAGCTGGATGAAGCTAGGAGGACCACATCATCCGCAAAAAGCAGAGACGAGATTCTCCTGCCACCAAACTCGACACACTCCACACCACGGCTGCGTCTAGAAATTCTGTCCATAAAAGTGATGAACAGAACCGGTGACAAAGGGCAGCCCTGGTGGAGTCCAACCCTCACTGGGAACAGGTCCGACTTACTACCGGCTATGCGGACCAAACTCACGCTCCTCTGGTAAAGGGACTGAATGGCCCTTAACAGAAAGCCACCCACCCCATACTCCTGGAGCGTCCCCCACAGGGTGCCCCTGGGGACACGGTCATAAGCCTTCTCCAAATCCACAAAGCACATGTGGATTGGTTGGGCAAACTCCCATGCCCCCTCCATCACCCTTGCAAGGGTATAGAGCTGGTCCACAGTTCCACGGCCAGGACGAAAACCACATTGCTCCTCCTCTATCTGAGATTCAACTATCGATCGGACCCTCCTCTCCAGTACCTTGGAGTAGACCTTTCCAGGGAGGCTGAGGAGTGTGATCCCCCTATAGTTGGAACACACCCTCAGGTCACCCTTCTTAAAGATGGGGACCACCACCCCGGTCTGCCACTCCCTAGGAACTGCCCCCGATGACCACGCAATGTTGTAGAGACGTGTCAACCATGACAGCCCTACAACATCCATTGCCTTGAGATACCCAGGACGAACCTCATCCGCCCCCGGGGCTCCGCCGCTGTGTAGTTGTTTGACTACCTCAGCAACTTCTGCCCCCGAGATCGGACAGTCCATCCCCAGGCCTCCCAGCTCTGGTTCCTCCTCGGAATGCGCATTGGTGGGATTGAGGAGCTCCTCAAAGTATTCCTTCCACCGTCCGACTATAGCCTCAGTTGACGTCAGCAGCTCCCCATCCCCACTGTAAACAGTGTGAGCGAGTTGCTGCCTTCCTCTCCTGAGGCGCCGGACAGTTTGCCAGAACCTCTTTGGAGCCGATCGATAGTATTATATTGTATTTATAATTTATGTAATATTATTTAAATTTCATCTAGAGATGGGCCATATCATTTATTTCTTGTCCAGAGAAAAATAAATCTATCATGTTAAACTAAATGTATGATGATGTAATTGCATCTACTGAAGATCACATGGGTCACACACCGTGGAGCTAACAAGGCAAACATGGCTGGAGTCTAACAGTATTGGCTCATATCAGCGATTATACTGTAATATATATAATATATATACATACATTTATGTTGTAATTTTATTATTACAATATTATTATTATTATTTTAATTTGTAATATTTTTATTGTAATTTAGATGTATTTAATGGATTTATGTGTAGCACATTTGGTGTTGTTAAAGTTATTTCTTATGAATGCCCTGATACCAAGAGTAGGATTAGGTATTGATCTGATACCGTGTCCAGGTACATGTCCTGTCTTGTAGGACAGTATTTACAATTCAGATGGGATGAAAAAGACAGGATCATATCACTTTTATGTGACAATGAAGATACCAGTCTTGATCTAAATGGTAAATGGCCTGCATTTGATATAGCGCCTTCTAGAGTCCTGGAACCCCCCAAGGCGCTTTACAACACAATCAGTCATTCACCCATTCACACACACATTCACACACTGGTGGGGATGAGCCACAATGTAGCCACAGCTGCCCTGGGGCGTACTGACAGAGGCGAGGCTGCCGAGCACTGGCGCCACCGGTCCCTCCGACCACCACCAGCAGGCAATGTGGGTTAAGTGTCTTGCCCAAGGACACAACGACAGCGACAGACTGAGCGGGTCTCGAACCTGCGACCTTCCGATTGCGAGGCGAGCACTTAACTCCTGTGCCACCATAGCCCCTATCTAGATTATCTTAGACTCCCGCTAGTGAGGGACTATTTTTCTGCTACTGCTTTTGAAAGAGTATCAAATCAAAATCAAATCAAAGATACTTTATTAATCCCAGAGGGAAATTAGTTAATTTTTTTCTTAATAAGGCAAAATTAGCATATGAAATTATGCATTTTTTCTCCTGTTATGTCAAACCCATACCTAACTAGGTTTTAGGTTGATTGCTAGTGTCTGAGCATTTTAACATCATAGTGTTTTTAAAGTAATAGTTGGAAATAATGAATAGAGTCTTCCGGCTCTTGGAGAGTACAGACGCTTTTTTCCTCCTCTCCTCCCTATCTTATCCCCAAGACTCTTTGTCTGTCTTTGTGTGCACAGCGCTTCTGCATTTTTTCTGGAAACTGGAAATTATAAAAAATGGACCTGGTCAGCTGGTCTCTCAACAGGATTGACAAAATTTTTTCAACGATGAGAACGGGAGAAGGGGCCCCCGGGTGCCCCTCCGGGACATATCCAGTTGGGCATATCATGGACTCCTGGAAACAGTGGAACCTGATCTTTCTCTCTCAATTGTCTGTAGAGGATTCTGAAGAAGTCTGGATATTCATGGTGATGGTGTCAGGTTTCCTGCTTTTTGGCCTGGGAGGTTACCTGATTTACGGGAAAATTAACGAGCTGTCGAGGAATGTTGGCTCTTTCCTGGAGCTCAGGGATGGATTACACCGCGCTGTGAGTGCACAGACTCATGTAATTGTCGAGATGAGTCGTAAGCTTGGAACTTTGGCTGAGATTCATGCTTTGGCACAAAAGATGGATGCTATCTAGAAGCGAGTGGATGAATCAGCATGGATTGGGATGGATTAATTTACGCCATTATTGGATTTTGAGAGGTTGAGGACCAATGGTACCCACAAACCCGGCTCTCTTTCCGGTCTGAGTACTCTGCTGGGCCCCCTAGTGGAATCCTCCAGTACTACATGCAGTGCCATGCTGTGTAGCAGCAAGTATGTGAACAGAGACGCAGCCTGCTGCCTGCACCAGTGCGAGGTTGAACAGCACGTATGTTCTGGCTATAACTGCAAAATAAAGCAAAAACAACTTACCCGTAACAAATTTGCATAATTTTCCCTCTTAATGCAGATTCTACCCCATCGCCCCACAGTCCCATTCTCTGCCATCTCTCCCAGTTTAACCCTGCTAAGAAACCTGTAGAGAAAATGTACCTGCCTTATTCTCTTCCTCCTCCTCAAGAAGCACAATACTTCCTCCTCTTGCTCGCCCACCCCACATCCTTTCTTTACTCAAGCTCCCAGCTTGCTCCCGTTACCTTTTCATTCATGCAGAGGAGGCGGCGCTCAGCCAGGCGCAGCTTCTACACATTCATGTCAAGAGCAGGTAGAGAGGAGGTCGAGAGCGAGGAGCTGTTTTGGCAGGAGGAGGAGAGAATCGGTGACAGTGAGACAAGATCCCTCAGACCGCGTCTCCTACCACCACTGGGTTGTGTTACTGTGAGTGTGTGTGCCCGGTAGTGAGGTGTTGTTCAGCATGGCTGGCAGCCCATTTGGAAGGCTCTCTCTGGGGGACGGCGACTCAGCCAACTCCTTGGAGGGAAAGGATATGAAGCTGGATGCAGAAGGTAAGAACAGAGGCTCCTACCTGCCGGCTGATGGCTCTGAAAACTAATACATGCTAGAAACCTTTGTCAAATTTCCAAGTAGAGGCTTCCTTTTAAGCTGGTGCTTGGGTGACGCTTTGAATTTGCATTGCACCTGCACCTGAAGGACCAGTGTGATGAATACAAGCAGAGACGGATTAGGACTGAGGGTAGCATGAGATGCACTGGAATGTGAGACAGCACACAGAACGACTGATGTAAAAATACACCAAGATGCTGAGAAAACCACTCATAACAGGTATAAGAGTAGCTCAGATTAAACCAGAAAAGGAACTAATGATTTAAAGAAGAGGAAAACAAGTCTACATATGTCTGTGTGAATGATCATATTTGTTTGTAAGCATGGGAAGTTCCCATATACCCCATGCATAATGCATAGTTCTCATTCATATTGGATGGTGTTGCATTCCTCAGAATAATGTAAGAGCTTTGACGAGCCATGGGGGTGCCTAAGTCCATAAACTCATGCGTTCACAGATTCCTTTGGATGCCATCTGCAGGGGTCGGAGTAAAAATGCTACGTGATGCTGTCGGGCTAAACGAGACAAGCATACAAGCATCATCACTCCCAAGGCCACTGCGTACCATTTAGGATAGTGTTGCTAAACATGCTCTGCTTTGTAGTGTAGCTTGACAGGACAGCAGTGACAGCTATGAGGAAATCACCTTAAACTGTCTACCAGTTCAGTGTGAGTGAGTTGGATAAAGATTGGGAGAAGTGTGTATTCAGGGTGTGTAAGTTGGGATCAGCTAAGAGCACGTTTAAACTCACAGCCTTTGTGTTGCTCTCGTTCTCAGGGCCTTTCTGGCCCTGAAAGCCTGATTCAGTCAGGGGAACTAATGAAGCGGTGTTCAAACCCAGATGATGGATTATTGAGCGCCGTGCGTTAGTGGGGCTGGTTGTCAAAGGTAATCGCACGCTTTCAAGAGAATTGAACAATTTAATTCTGTTCTGGCTGAGGAGTGTTTGATAATGTGGCGACACTTGCAGTTATGTCATTCGCATCACACCTTGGTGGTCTTGACTGTCATATGCTGCTGGATGGAGAGTGTGTGTTGAGTAAAAGTTACTAAAGATGATGAACTTTGCTGTGCGAGTTGACAGGGTTCAGGGTGAGTGTCGCCAAGCAGATGAGGTGAACTAGTGGCTGCTGTCGATTTGCAAAATGTCAGCTGGTGCAACAAGCGTCATCTCCAGGGTGATCATCATCAAAAAGCATGTTTTTCTTTATCAGCATCCATAAGGCAGTTCTTCCAGCCTGACTAATGGATTTGCAAAAACATTTCAAGTTGTAGTTTGAAGGAATTCTTCGGATATTTTGAAATGTGTTTGTAAAAGTTATGAATCCTTATTTTGTTTGCTATAAATAGCATCATGAATGACCTCAGCTTGGAGAAAGGTCCTCCAGGAGAATCTAATGCAGGGGTAGGAAACGCCGGTCCTAGAGAGCTGCTGTCCAGCACGTTTTAGCATTTTCTCAGATTCAACACACCTGATTTTAATCAGCAGGTGATTGACAGGCATCTACAGAGCCTGATGAGCTGCTGAGCAGGGAAACAACTAAAACATGCTGGATAGTGGCTCTCCAGGACCACGGTTCCCTACACCTGAGCTAAAGGCTTGTCTGAACTCAACTAAAACCACTGCACCAGGAGTTCTTATGAACGGTGATTATGGATCTTACCATTGTTGTCTCTCTTATTTACTTGAAATGTGTTTTATAAACATTTAGCAAGCAGCTAGAGGCAACAAGAGTTTCCCCAAATGATCACCGAGGGGTTTGAGACTGAAAGCTTTCTGGTAGAAAATGATTAACCTAGTCCTTTTAGCAATGACGTGTATCATGTAAATGTTCATGATTTAACATTTGCATGAACTACTGTGACTTTTAGGAGATTGGATCTGCTTTACCATGGCAACAGCACTCTTGTGTGTTGGCAGAGCTTAGATGAACTCTTTAATCCTATTTCTCCATACAGAGGCTGTTCATGAAGCTATTTACAACAGGTAGGAAATTAATTATTTAGAACGCTGACAGAGAAACAGTGTGAGCTGCCTCTCTTTTACTCTTATTCAAATCAATGTTTGAAAAGTCACCATCTGTGTTTGTGCCCCACCCCGTCTCCAAACTGCTGAGAGTTTCAGCTCTGCAACAGCAAAACTGTCTTTATATGACCGGCTTCTTGGCATCACAAAATTCTCCAATCGATTCCTAGTCGGGGTTATTCAAGTAGCAGTCCTCTCAGGCTTCACTGAACAAATACGTTCATCAAATCCGCTGACAACTGTCGTCAGTTTGGAGTGAGCAGAGGCTTAAACATGAGCTTCAGGTCACTCCGACTGAGAACTCCAACAACTCCAACAGAGTCAGGCAGAATCACAATGTTTCCATGTGAAACGTTTTCCATATGAGCATCATGGGACTGCAGCCTGATTTATGTGATCAGAGCATCCTCCTAACTTATCCTCATAAACCAGTTTGTGTGAAGACAGGGTTGATTTAATAATCGTGAATTTATCACAGGTAAAGCAGCTCAACTGTGTGCTGCATTTCTTTTAATGGATACTTTGCAGCGTTGTCTGCATTAACAAAGGGCTTCAGGTTGGAAAGAATCATGTATCTCCTAATTTAGAGGCGAATTCATCTTTTTCTTCTGCTATAAATAAATCATCAGGTCTGATCCACACCACAGACTATCATCTTTTATATGTTTTACTGTAATACTGAACAGACCTATACCCACCACTCTAAATGTGCAGTTCTGGCTGTTCCAGAGCTTTAAAACTGTAATGATGATTGTTTTCGGACACGTTCAAGGTCAATCAGTGTTGCAAAGGATTTCATTAAATCAAAGAAACAAACTTGGTTTGTCGCAGCTGAAGTGTAGCTCTGATTTTACTGTTGTGAAGAGACAATGTGTAGTTTTACCATTAATCTCTGGAATTATCCATCCAAATGTTGTAATGAATCAAATGATGCCCTGTTGTTGAACAATGTTAGCGGCTTCGTAACATATAACCATCAAAATCAGTAGCCTGGCCTGCCAGACTCGTCCTCTGTTTAGGTCTACACAGAGAACTAGTCTGATTACTCACAGGCAGAGAGGCACACAAGGGGCGGGACTAGCCAGCTCAAACATAACCAATCAGAAAAATGGCAGAAATGCGTGCTGTGATGCTGTAGTTTTTTTAGCTGTGGTCAAAAATGCCGTCTGGCGACGCTTGTGACACCATCTTCGTTGTTTATGAGAAACTGAGGGTCAAGGTGTGTGACGTATGCTGCTCAGTGCTAATTGGCTCGATTAGAATTCTCTGGGGGTGGGGTCATTTCTGTCATGTTGAGAGTGGAGTGGAGATGAAGGACCATGTGCAGAGCTGTCCAGTTGGGATTGGAGCCTCCAGGATGCATGTTGGTGGCAAGAAGAGAAAAGAGACCAAAGCAAAGGCTTACTGTTCATTTTTGTAGGGAAAGCAAGAAAAGAACAAATAGTTGTTTTCATTCTATTATTTTAGGAGCGTAAGTTAATTGTGAATACTAAAAAGGTCACAAACTTAGGTTTCAACTTTCTACAGTTTCCTAATAAGTTGAGCTGCCCAGATGGTTCTTCCATCCCAGGAACTGGAAGCAGAGAGAGTCGTCTGCTGTTGTTTGTTTTAATGCTCCCCGAGGACTCGACGTGGAGAAACAACACAACCGCTTCTCCCACATCTCCCCTTCCATGTGCCCGCCTCCCTCAGCTCCCCTGTGCATCTTCTCCCATGTTTATCCAACCTCTGCTCCATAGCAACAGAGCAACCTTCACTAAGTGTCGGCTAAGAGGTTCGTGCACCCTGCCATGCTCTAACCACAAACACTATCGGGTCAGATTGTCTGGCTGCATTTGTGACATTGAGTTTAATTGTAACCCTCCTTTGGGGCGAACAGGCTCTCAGATGAGCCTTTCACACAAAAAACTACCTTTAATTTAATTTTCATGTAATTACATGCTGTCTGCCATCATCGGGAAATAGAAAAAGTCATTTGTGGTTCACTGAGAGTTGATGCAGAAAGCTAAAACATGCTAAAAATCTCTGTTTTTCATGCAGCATCTTTCAGTTGTAATCTTCTTCCTTCAGATGCGACTCCATCTCCGTATGAAATTGCAGGACATGTAGGTCAAGTCTGTCTGCACACCTGCTCTCTCTTTGTGCTCTTGAGTCTTCACCTGCAGGATGAAAGTTCTCAAACGATATCGAGTTTCTCCATGTCGGATAGGCAATTCAGACCCAGTCAAGTGAAAAATGACTTTCGTCTCACCTGTAAAGGCAAAGTGGATGAAAAGTAAATCCAGGCATGCTATTACGCAAATACAACTTTACGGCGGATATTAGGCGTGAGCAGAAGGAAGATAAAGACTGTTAGCGATGAGGAAAAATTGTAGTTTGACTCTTGCTGTTCAGGGAAGATTGCTTTCACGCCGCTGGTGAACAAGATGAAATATTCCACCCGAGTGCTAAAAGGGACGCTATGAAGTTTAAAAACAGGGAAATAAAGATTGTGTCGCAATCTGACTTCTCTTAGTTTTGCTTCTGAAAACAGAAGGTAGCATCTGATTGTAAACTGTTATGGATGCTTATATAAAAATTAAAAAACGAGAGCCAAGGAGGTCAAACTTGATTTTTAATAATCTTTTCCTCTAATAGACTGGTGAAGGTCGCACTAATACTCTCCACCTTCTGTCTAAATAAGTTAACATCTAGCTCCTGGTGTGGTGATGATTAATATCCAGAGTTCACGCATTTAAAGGATATTTAGCAACTTTTTAATATTTTTACACCGTTTTCTTGAGCCAGTAGGTGCTAAAATGACCCTTTACAGCAGGGGTGTTGAACTCAAATTCACACTGGGCCAAAATGAAAAACTGGGATGAAGTCGTGGGCCAAACTCAATATTTTTTAAAAAGTGACAGTAAATGTGCACATTTTCCTTAATCTACAGATATGAACGGTTGAACCTTTTCATTTGGAAAGAAAATTATTTTTGCAGTAACACTGAATGTGGAATAACCAAATTACACACGAGCAAGTCGATTTTAAATAAAGCGCATCAGTGGTATTCCTTACTTATGTGTCAATTAATTTAAAATATTTTATTTTTTAAAATCTGTATATATTCAGCATTTCTTCTTATTTGTTTATCTTTTGAATCTTTTAAGTGTTTCTATTTTATGTTCTCTTGTTTATTCTTTATTTTTTACTCTCCTTTGTTGCTCCTGTAATGAATGTTATTGCTGCTGAGACACCAAGCTTTCCCCACTGAGGGACGATAAAGGGATTTTCTATTTTATTTCTATTCTATTCTTCTATCTGTAATCTTTCCTGTTTTTAAGTAGGTGAAATCTTTTTTCACAGGCCAACAACATAAATAAAAAATAGTAATTCTCTTAAATGAAAATGCAATATCTCACCTATTAACTTTCATGCTTTGGAGCAGAAAAGGTTAATAAAACCAAAATAATTCAATCCCAGTTTTCTCCACTCTGATTTCCTGTGATGCTCACCTGTTCCAGCCAGACCTGCACCTGTGGGGTTGGGCTCTGAGCTGAGGAAGGAGTTCATCAGTGAGAAACAGTTGTTCACACAGGTTTGTGCTGCTGGACTTGGAGAGCATCTGGACCACACAGTTGTGTCGGGGAGGGGGATAAAAGCTGCAGCAGCCACAGAGTCATAGTGACTTGAGAGTGTCGCTAAACTGGAGTTAAACCATCTCGGTCTGGAAGTTGGTCGGTGCGTCTTCTATTTCAGCCTCAAACAGATTACTGAGCTGTTAAAATCCATTTCTGGCCTTCAAAGTTCAAAATGGCTGAGTAAAGTCGGTGCTCAGTAAGAGGAGTGTTTTCAGTTTGTCCGAGGCAGAGGAGGTAACACTGCAGATACTGATGCTAGTAGCATGGACGCTAATGACTGTAAAGACATACCGGTTTTTCTCCTTGAAGCATCACATGTTCCATCTTTGTTGAAATACCTTCCTTCTGCATCAATCTTTCTCTTCCTGGACATTTTGGGATGATGTGTGGACATTTATTTTCACTTGTTGCATTAATTAAACATGGAAGTGGATACACTGCGACCTTGTGGCAAGTCAATGCACTGGGAACACAATCACCATGCATTATGGGAAATGTAGTTAATAGCCAATATGTGCTTTGAAGAGGCATAGACCTATTTTAAGACACTTGAATCTCTCGCAGGCCACATAAAATGATGTGACAGGCCACATTTGGCCCGCGGGCCTTGTGTCTGACACGTGCTTTACAGGGTTAATGAAAGGCCACCCAGCTCCTATCGCCCCCTTGTGGCCAGAATATTCCACTTGCAACTTCAGAAATGCTGGTACGGTCTGTTGGGATTTTGAAAAAATGCTTACATACCAGGCGCTGCAGTCTGCTTCCAGCAGATTTCCTGCATGTTTAGATCATCAACACAACTAATTTGTTTAATTAGTAATGAATCACTCCTGTAGAGGAAGGCTGGGGAGACATTTCAGCTGTAAGGTGTTAAGGTTATTAAGGTTTTGCCTTTGGTTCTACAAATGGACACTAGGGGGTGCTAAAAGCAAGCCAAAATGCCTAATCTCCGTTTAAAGTGCGAGAAACACATAAATCATCTTTTCTTTTGCTGATAACCTGTATAGATTAGGGTTAGGGTAAGAGAGCGCTCATGGGGGGTTGACGGGGGTTCTGCTAATCATTGCCTCAGTGCTGCTCTCTCTGCCCTCCGGGCGATGCCTTTTTCCCTGGTATTTTTCTACCAGGAAGTCTGGTTGAAATAAGTCTCCACCCATGGTGTTACTCCTACTTTAAAGAAACTGCTCCTTAGGTTATTGTCAGAAATCCTTCTGGCCTTAAAGCATCCAGATGGAATATCAGGATCAGTACTTTCATCAGAAACCTGCCACATCTGGCCCTATAGACCCCTTGATGCATGATGTCATGTGCACAGGTTTTTGGGTCTTCACAAGGGATCAAATGATGAGATGAGAAAGGTGGACACTAGTTGTGACATATGTCATATGATGTCAGTGTGTTTTGCCCTCAATCTGCCAAGGAACATTTGAGTTTAAACAGGGGTGGTGGGTGGGTGTTAATTAGAAGGACAAAAAATAAAATCAGAGACTCTTGCTAAGTGAAATGTGACCAAATAATATTAATAATCAGTTTTGTCATTTTGTTTTATGTGGTGTTAAGTGATTTTCTGCATGGTGCTAAATATTGAGTTTAATTATTCAGCCATAGAAAACAAAGCAAAACCTTCAGAGAGCATCCTTCTGGTTGTTGTTAATATTGTTACATTCCAGTAGTCCCAGTCCGCGGGACATGCTTTCACGCCGTGTTCTCCAGCTGCTGCAGAAACATGAAAAACCACTCACTTCATCTTGAGCTTTCACCTCAGCAGAGATATAAATCCTCCACACAGGACTTGGTAAAGCTGAGACCAACCCAGTGGTGTTGTGGGGGCAACAACATCAGCGAGCAGTTGTGGTGATTAAACAGAATTATGCAGCACCTGTAAACCCAGCCTGCTGCTCTGATCATTTTTGCTAGGCATGAAATCGGGCAGCTCTCCAGCTGAGTGAAATCTAGAGGGAGACCAGAAGAAAGAGGAGAAGAAGAATCATGTTGTCATAGTTTAATCCACTTTTCATAATCAGTGTTAGGATAGACGACACACTGGGTGATGACTGATGTGGGAGATCTCATTAGGGATCTTATTTTTAGCATACTCCCAAAATGGTAAGTCTTTGCTGTTTATAACATTCCAAATATATTTGAAATGCTTTCAAAATCCAAGTTACGTACTGAAGAACGATTATTGTTTGTGCATACACCATCTTATTTAGTGGGACTGAAGCTGACTATTGAGAATCATTCTTGTGCTGCAAGTGTGAATCCAGTTTTATTTAATACCAGAGGAAACAGGAAGTGGTGCAACCCTTTAAACAAGGCTTCACTCCAGGGATAGTTTTATTTTTGGCAGCTACAGTAATGTGCAAACATTTAAGGCAGGTGTGAACAAATGCTTTCAGAAATATCAGTAATGATTGTTTATTTTTTATCTATTTACAAAATGCTCTTGACTTAGGCTACTGCCCCACGACCCAACTCCGGATAAGCGGATGAAAATTGATGGATGGATAGATACAAAATGCAAAGTGAGTGACCCCAAACATACGTCCAAAGTCATCAGAACTGTCTTCAGTGTAAAGAAGAACCAGAAGTCGTGAACGTGATGGTCCGGCCCCCACAGAGGCCTGATCTCGGCACCATGGAGTCATGGGATCACATGAAGAGACAGAAGGACGTGAAGAAGCCTACATCCACAGAAAATCGGTAGTTAGTTCTCCAGATGTTTGGAACAACCTTCAACACCTGTGTTCAAGTGTAGCTAAAACCAAGACAACAAAACCTTCAGACACGACCTTTTAACTCCAGACGAAAGCAGGATCGGTTTTTAGGATTCTGTGGGGCCTTTTCAGGAGATGAGTCCTATAAAGTTGGTCATTGGCTGTAGCGTTGGACCACCACTACGTCTTTGTCATAAACATTAAGGGTGCTGTATTGTTAGCTCGGACGACTTCACCGTCTGTTATGTAAATTACAGCAGACAAATTCTCCGCATTAACAAGAAAGCCTTCTCTCCTGATAGTCGTGTCTGCTCTGGTGGTGGATCCGCTCGCTGAGTCATATTTAGAGTCTGGAGATAGTCTTTGAAGCCGGACTCAAACCTGTCTGACCTTCATTGAGTTGTTGACACCGCCTGGCTCGTGCTCATTGATTGGTTGTCCTTTTGAGTAATGAGGTGGGTTTGATTTCACATCTTGGAGGTAAAGGTGCATGCGTGCCTTTGTGAGTTTATCTGTGAGGCTGATTCATGTGCCTGAAAAACATTGTCAACGTCTCCTGCTGACTGATGAAATAATAATGGTGCTGAAAGATGATGCTGTAAACCGAAGAAAAGTGTTTAAATGTTTGTTCTAATGGCAGCTTCAGCAGCTGTGTTATTGTTGTGTGTGTGTGTGTGTGTGTGTGTGTGTGTGTGTGTGTGTGTGTGTGTGTGTGTGTGTGTGTGTGTGTGTGTGTGTGTGTGTGGGTGTGTGTGTGTGTGTGTGTGTGTGTGTGTGGGTGTGTGTGTGGGTGTGTGTGTGTGGGAGGGAAGGAGTAAGTTGGGAGTTATGGGAGAGAGATACTGTGAGTCTGGCAGACTTATGACTGACAGAGATAAAATTGCTTGGGAAAGGAAATGATGCAGCTCCCCTCGTGCTTCTGCAATAAATGCATTTTCTGTTTCCTAACTTTTAAATAAGTCTGTTAGAATAATAACTTCCCTGGTTTGTGTGCAGCCATGCACCAGGCTCTGGACACACTGAGTGACAGCACGAGCTCCACCACAGCCAACGACCTGGATCTCCTCTTCCTCAAAGGCATCATGGAGAGCCCAGTG